AGTAGCAACGTGTACTGAAATAGACAATATTGTGGATTTGAGTAGGGCAGGAATGGATGTTACCCTGAAAATGCATATCTGTCTGCCAAAGGCCACCTTAAAATTAGCCTAAGTAAAAACCAAAAGAACTGCGGATGCTGTAAATCAGGAACAAAAACAAAGTTGCTGGAAAAGCTCAGCAGGTCTGGCAGCATCTGTGGAGGAGAGAACAGAGTTAATGTTTCGGGTCCCGTGACCCTTCCTAAAATTAGCCTCTTTTGTTTGTAGGTGGCACACTGTAAATTATATTCAATCAAGGCCTTATTCATCTGATTCTGATGCTGATCTCATCAACAGGTAAGTTCATAGGATCGGAGGAGGTAGATAACAGCAGAAAATGCTGGACATACACAGTAGGTGAAGCAGAGAGTCAATGCAGATAGGAACCTATTTCAGGCCAGTGACCTTTATTCAGATGTGGAAATGTTAGAGATGCGATAATTTTGAACTAAAAGTGAGTGAGACAAAGACAAAAGGAAGGTAAGAAATATAGTTAAAGAAACAAGAGAGTTTGAATAACAGCTAGTTCTCCAGGGACAAAGGGAATGGGGATGGAACAGAAAAACAAAGAAACAAACGATGTTCTGACAGGAGGTATGCTGCTGACTGAAAGAAAAAAGTAAGACAAAAACTGAAAGAGTAAATAGAAATGGGTCATACTTTGGAATTGTTGAACTCAATGTTAAGTCTAGAAGACTGTAAAGTGGCTTTTTGAAAGTTGACATGCTGTCCAGCTTATGCTAAACTTCAGTGGAACAGTTCAATAGGTTAAGAAAACCTGAGAACAAGATAAAATTAAAGAAACAGCCACCGAAAGCTCTGGATCATCTTACCTCGGGATATGATAGTAACTGTCCTTGACATCAAGCTTCTCACTAACCTGAGTGACCAGGCAGAAATGCAGCCACTGGGAAGCTCCATACACACCGTTCATCATGCTGCAGCAGGAAGTCTGCTTCTGGAAGCTGCTACCGTGCGAATACCTCGGAGATCTGCACAGCAGGCTGAAAAATTCAAGGGAACATTAGTTGATGTCAAAACTGCATTTGACCAAGTGTGGTAACAAGTATCAAGAGGAAAACTTTCCTCTGGTGGGAGTCATACCTGACACACAGAAAGATGGTTGTGAGTGTTAGAGGTCAGTCATCTCTGCTCAATTGGAGATGTTTGTTGATGATTATATAATAATCAGCACCTTTTGGGACTTCTCAGGTACTGAAGCAGTCCATGTTCAAACACAGTGCCACTTAAATGCTATCCAGGCTTGAGCTGAAAAGTAGCAAGTGACATTGATGCCACACAAATGCCAGACAATGGCCATCTCCAATAAGACAGGACCCAACAATCGACACTTGAAATTCAATGGCATTGCCATGATTGAATCCCCCATTATCAACATCTTGAGGTTAACCACTGACCAGAATCTGAACTGGACCAGCCAAATAAATATAGTGTTTTCAAGACAAAGTCTAAGGCTTTTGCAATGACCTCTGACTGCTCAAAGTCTGCCCACTATCTACAAAGCATAAGTCAGGAATGTATTGGAATTCTCGTTACTTCCAAGATGAGTGCAGTTCCAACAACACTCAAGCTTGACACCATCCAGGGCAAAGCAGACCCACTTGATTGGCACCACATCTACAAACGTTCACTCCCTCCACCAGTGATACACATGAGCAGCAGTGTGTACCATCAGGAAATGCACTGCACATATTCTCCAAAGATCCTTAGACAGCAGCTTTCAAGCCTACAATCACTTCCTTTGTGAAGGACAAGGAGCAGCAGATACATAGGAATACCACCAACTGCAAGTTCTCCTCCAAATCATTCAGCATATTGACTTAGAAATATATCACAGTTTGTTCATTGTTGCTGGGTCAATATCCTGCAATCCCTCCATCACAGCATTGTGAGTGTACCTACGCCAAATGGACTGCAGTGGTTCAAGAAAGCAGCTCACCACCATATACTCAAGGGGAACTAGGGATGGCAGTAAATGCTGGCCCAGCCAATGACATCCACATCCCTTGAATGAATGTTTAAAAATTGCTGACACACTGATTGGAGGTGATCTGCAATTAAATCTCAGAATGGTACTGTGGGGAGAAAATGGGGTGTTAAGGGTGACTGAAGAGCGGAGCTGGACAACACTGAGGGAACAGTCTCCTCAGAAATTGAAAAGGAGGGCAATGATGTACTTGGAAGTGGCACCAGATTGAAGGTGGCAGGAAGGCTGGTGGGGTGGAAGGTGAGGACAAGAAGATCTTATAATGATTTGGAGAAGAAGGGAAAGGGGTCAGGGCAGAGTCTGGATACTACCTAGACTAGACCTCCTCTCAGCCACTTCCTGCAAGAATGCGATCCCCTACTCCCAATTCCTCCACCTCCGCCGCATCTGCTCCCAAGATGAGGCATTCCACGCCCAAATATCCCAGATGCCCTTGTGTTTCAAGGACCGCAACTTCCCCCTTTCAGTGGTCAAGAACCTCTCGACCGCATCTCTTGCGTTTCCCACATCTCTGCCCTCACACCCCTTCCCTGCAATAAAAACAAAGACAGAATCCCCCCTTGTCCTCAGGTATCACCCCACTAACCTCCGGATTCAATGCATCATTCTCCGCCACCTGCAATCTGACTCCACAATGAAGGATATATTTCCCTCCCCACCCCTATCTGCCTTCCAAAGGGGCCACTGTCTTTTCGACTTCGTCGTCCGCTCCACACTCCCCACTAATCCCACCACCCCTAGCACCTTTCCCTGCAACCGCAGGAAGTGCTACACCTGCCCCTACGCCTCACCCCTCACCTCCATCCCAGGTCCCAAAAAAACCTTCCACATCAGACAGATGTTCACTTGCACATCCGCTAATGTGGTCTATTGCATCCGCTGTTCCCGATGTGGCCTCCTCTACATCGGTGAGACCAAGCAGATGCTCGGAGACTACTTTGTAGAGCACCTGCACTTGGTTCGCGACAAAAGACAACACCTTCCAGTTGTGAACCACTTCAACTCCCCCTCCCACTCTCTGGATGACTCTTCCAGTGTCATAACGATGCCACCTGGAAACTGGAGGGGCAGCACCTCATAATCCACCTTGGGAGCTTACAACCCAATGGTCTCAATGTGGATTTTACTAGCTTCAAAATCTCCCCACCTCCCCGACTTCATCCCATGACCAACCCTCCCTCTCATCCCCGCCTCCTTGACCTGTCCATCTTCTCTCCCACCTAAGTGACCAATCCCCACCACTGCCTACCTGTACTCATCCATCACCATCCCACCTACCTTGCCCAGCCCCAACCTTCCTGTCTCTATTTATTTCAGAGCCCCCTTCCCCCTCCTCCATTTCTGAAGAACGGTCCCGACCCGAAATGTCAGTTTTCCTGCTCTTCCGATGCTGCCTGGCCTGCTGTGTTCCTCCAGCTCCATACTGTGTTATCTTACGGCAGACTCTGGGATGTGGAATGAACAGTGTTGAGGGCCTTGCCAACAACATTGGTTGAGAGATGGGGTGGATGGAATCCTTGACTAAGGAAGGAAGAAGGGACCTCAGAAATGGTGCTGTAGAGGATTGCATGATCAGAACAGATGAAGGAAATGAGGGAACTGGAAGCATGGAATTTTTAAAAACATTGATTGATCACCCACTCCTGCTCTAAATTCTTGTGTCCTTGTGTTTCATTCTCCATAGATTTTGCCTATGTGATATTTCAACTTTTTTTTTTCAGATTTCTAACATCTGCAGCATTTTACAATTTTGGATATTGCAGGGCGATGGGTTATATGCTGGTCAGGAAAGGATGAAGTCGACAGAAGATCTCAGTACTTTTGTTGAGCACTCTACAGAGACAAAGTTTATATCTTTACCAGTGACATTCCAAGGACTAAATTGCTTAAGATTTGATAACTGGGTAGAATGTGCAGAAGTAAAGACTTCAGACAATTAACCAGGACCTTGACTGAATGTCCTAAAACTGCCATTTGCACCTTGATTAGTTTATTCAATACGTCCAAAACTCAATGTTACTTTATTGCCCTGGACTCTTGAAAGTCATCAATTTCCAACTGGGAAATCAACATACTTACACAGATCAGCTACTGTATATTTAGTGTTTGTCCTTTCAGGTGTTGTCCAAATGCTAAATGAACACAATGAGATCCAAATTTTCCCATCTATGTTCATTAGGATTTATTGATAGAAGTACAATATTCTGATCTACTGGATTTCCCAATTCCATTCTTGGTGATTTCCTCTGAAATTTGTAACTCTTCAATTTCACTGTCCCTTGTTCTTTTTCAGAATATTCAAATCCATTTTCACAAGTTAATGAACATGGTTTTACCTGTGTTTACAAACTCAAATTTAACAGGTCTTGTGGTACAGTGGTAAAATTCCTATCTCTGGGCCAGAAGGTCTGTGTTCAATTCCTCATCTGCTCCAGAGTTTTGTCATAACTGGTTGATTAAAAATATCTATACTAGCTCTTTTGCTACTTTGCAAAGAGTTGCTGATAAGCCATTTTAAGAGATTCATTACCCTTCAGTCTAACAGCTAAACCGAATTTAGGGACAATGCAGAACATTCTGAATACTTTTACAAATCAGGTGCTAATATGCCCAACAGTTGATTCTAGGCTTTTATACCACAACATCAAGGAATGCAGGAATACATTTATTTTTAATTATCAGCAGCTTTATAAATCATGGGGATGAAGGTCAATATCATTGAGACACAAGACAAGCGTGATCAAATTGACAGCTCATTACATGCTCTATCCAATTTTTCAATTCATATACTTCAATTCAAAGGAAATAGGGTAGAGTGTATAAAGGGCAGCCAACTTATTAGTGACGACGCCATGACCCTACCAAAATAGAATTTCACCCCCATGATTTGTAAAGCTTGGTTTTAGATCAATAAAATAGATTTTTTGTCATTATTTTAATAAATGAACTCGTGTAAAAAATAAAATCTCCCAACAGTCTGAATTTGGAAGTTAAATCATTAAAGTTCTAATGATTCTAATTATAACAGCTAGCTGTTAAAGAAATGGAGCTGAAATCATACTATCAGGATATGATTAAAACAATGACCTATCAAGAAATGTAACGATACAGATGAAAGATATGAAGCAATGTGGTTATCAGATTTTAACAATAGCGATCATGAGTAATAATTGCATGCAGCCAGTGAAACAGACTTCGTTTAGGCATAACTAACAAGTGTAACATGACACTGTCATTTTATTGAGTCTTTTTCAAGTCTCACTTATCCAATTGTTCCATTCTCTTGTTTGCTGATCATTGGATTTCATTGTGATGTACGCTGGGAGACCAAAGTGGAATGTAATTCAAGACTGCAGCCCGGCTCCCAAACAGTGTTAACAAACTAAATGTCTGTGTCTTGTCAAAGGTCAATACTCAGTCCAACACAACAGGATGCATCTGAAACCTAGTCTTTACATGGTCATTCAATCGAAATCCCTAAACAAGAATCATAATGTTAGATCAAGAAGTAAATATCCCAATACTCAAAATAGAGTGTGAGGCTAAAGTTCTATAAAGATCTAAATTGTTAGTAAAATGGTATTAACTTACCTCTCATGGCATGTATGTTGATTGGATCTTCAGAGATCTGGTTTACCCTAGAATATCTAGGAACTAAAATCCTTAAGCAGCAGTTGGTTCAATGAACATAATGAGCAGATTCAGACTCTGTTGGATGAGAAGTACCATCTCCTTAGAACATACTAAAACAATCAATTCATAAAAAGAAGCCTTCCTTAAACATGTTAAAACATCCATTCAAGGGTCAGAGAGATATGGGATTGGTGGCTAAGCAAAAAGGCAAAAGAAACACAATCATAATCAGACAGAATGACACCAAATATGGTCTGAAAATAATCTAATGTCAATAGGCTTCTGGATGTTCTCCTCTCTTCATGCCTGATGGGATTACACTAATCAGAAACATTGCTGAAATTCTGGAGAGAGGTGAAGAATTTGCTAACGATGCTCGGAATGGGCCCTCAACAAAGAATGATGAGGTGGTTGGCTGCTTGGCCAAACTGAAGTCAACATGTTGCTGATCTCCCTAACATAGCTGGGATATTGGAAAAAGTCAGTCTGCTGTCAAGTGGCTAGTTACCAGGGTCAGATGCAGTACTAGGTAAAACGTACAAGACAGCAGGAACAATATTCACTGACAAACTCACCAACATGTTCCAGATAATGTGGAACCTGGGTGTCCATCTTCAGAAAGTCAAACATGCATCAATATCCACCTGTACAAAAGGAAGGGAAATTGCAACAACCATTGAGGATTTCCCCCATGCATTACTGGGAAAATACATGAAAGAACCCAGTTAAACCACGTAACACTATATTTCTGATAGGATCTTCTACTGGAGAGTCTACGTAACTTCTGTAAAGCTGTGGTACAGTGAACAGATTAGCTTCAGCAATGTCAAAAGCAGAACAGTCATTCATACTCATTATTTATTGATCTGATGAAAGACTTTGACATTTTAGTTGGGAGGAACTACGGACAGACATGACAAAATTTAGAAGTTCAGAAAAATTGATTGCTTTGTACATCACTTTGGTGTTCCAGCTGCATTGTGCAAGTTCTATCATGAGGTTTTCTGCTGAAATAGCACAATATTGAAGGTCTTTATGGTGATAACTTCATACATTGAAAACATTGATCAGCTGCATGGAGCACCAAATGCATTAATCATGTGAGGCATTCACCATTGGGTTGAGTAGACCTGCTCTGAGCCAGAAGCTCTGGGTTCAAATCGCCCTCCAGAATTTGTACACAATGTTAGGGCCACAAACCTAATAATCTTATTAACATTCCCTGGTATTTTCCAACCAGAAAGAAAAAGGTTTGCATGAACAAACCCAGTGGATTGCAGACCATGAAAGCCACCTCCAATATAAGGTGGCACAGCTGGCACTGTGGCTCAGTGGTTTCCACTGCTGCCTCACAGCACCAGGGACCTGTGTTCGATTCCAGCCTTGGGTAACTGTCTGTGTGGAGTTTGTACATTGTCCCCGTGTCTGCGTGGGTTTCCTCCGGCTTCTTCGGTTTCCTCACACAGTCCAAAGATGTGCAGGCTAGGTGGATTGGCCGTGGTAAATTGCCTGTAGTGTACTGAGATGTGTAGATTAGGCAGGTTATAGTGGGATAGGTCTGGGTGGGATGCTGTGAGGGTCGGTGCAGACTTGTTAGGCCAAAGGGCCTGTTTCCACACTGTAGTGATTCTATGAAAAAAAAAATGACTGATATCTTAGACATGGGTGTTCATTGCCCTACTGATCTGCTGCAAAGAATTATTCACCTGTCCTAACGTAGGTCTGTTAGGCCACAAGAAAAATGATGGTGAATGAGAACATAGAAGTGATGATGTCTCTCAAAGAGCTTTCACTGCCTAATTATTTATTGCCCCTTAGTCAGACCCCCACATATTGCCACAAGGGCCTTAGGAGGGACCTCACAAGCTCCAAGCTCAGACAATGTTAGCAATAGCATCTTAGCTGTAATCAATCTGGCTGAAAAGCCAGCAAGAACCTGCACATATGCACACAGCATGCCTACCATGAGAGTCATACTGACACAAGAAACATCAGGCAGCGCACATTTGATGTCTTACCAGAAGAGTTCTACTGCTTGAATCACTGAGCAAGTACCATGATTTGAAGCAGTCTGCTGCAAGATAGAAAATGGAGGAACAGGAAGAGCAAGGGAGGCTACAATGTAAAAAAAAGTCCTTCTGCCTTTGCTCTAATGATCAAATAATTGAGTGATAAAGGTAAAGTCAACATAGTCCTACCAGACCATTAGAGAGAGACTACTGGTGGTGGTTTAACACGAGGGTCACCACACTGTAGTCAAGGGGAGAGGTTGAGAAGTATAATCTTTCACGGTAACCTCAGTGGTGCAGGTATTGAATCCACACTGCTGGCATCACTCTGCATCATATCACAATAACAATACTGCAAGATAGTTTTGCTTTGCATTGAAAGATTGCACTTTTAAAAAAAAAAAAACCATTGTCTTGCTGAATCAAAATATTTATGAGACATCCAAGCAGAATTGCTGAAAGACCCCGCAGGTGTGTGACTACGAGGCATCTGTCTGCATATTCCTAAAGTTTTCTTGAAAACTCAGTTGCTGCAGGCTGCTTCAACCAACCTTAATAATCCATCCTGGTTTAGATTAAATTCATGATTGGAAGCACATCATGATCATTCAAGAGCTGGTTATTCTATTTTCAAGAGATAATTAGAGAAAAAACTGTGAAAATTTGCATGTTTCAGAAAGTGACTCCATCCGTAATACTTTTCTCCAATTTTTTTTTTTTAAGTTTAAGGATGTGAATTTTGAATTGCGAAATTTATTCAGCTGGCAATATATCTGGTAGCTTGTCAGCGACAGCTGTCTTGAACCGTGAAGAACGATATCATCTAGAAGAACGGCTTATTTTTACACCAGTTGGTTTAGTTATGATATAAATCAATGTATGGATGTACTCAACTTCTCCACATGGCAGGTGCTGAGCTCACAACAGGGTTAATTTCAGAACTGCTGAGGCCTTTAGCACCACACCCTTCTCTACATATAATGACACTTGCCCTTCCACCATTATACATTAAAACTTACTTCAACAATGGTCATGGAAAGGATGGTGTGGCTGCAAGGGAGGAAAGCGAGGAGATGCAGATAGCAAGACTCCAGGAGCTTCAACCTTTGGATTAAGCAATAGGTTTGAGGTTCATTCTGCTGTTTTGGATGAGAGTGAGGGCCACGTTTTGTTGAGCTAGATGACCATAACACCATGATATAGAAGGCCATTCAGATAGAGTGAGCGGTAATGAACGTAGTGGTAATAAGGGACAGCATAATGAGGAGGATAGAAGCTATTCTGTACAGTGAAGGATATGAGTCTAGATGATTATGTTGCCAACTCTGTGACAGGGCTAGGCAAGAATTTGGAGAAGGAGCCAGTTGCTTTTGCCCACATAGGCACCAACAGCATAGGTAGAATAAGGAAAATTATTCTGCTTAGGCAGAATGAGGAGCTAGGAACAATAAGAGTAACAAGCACATCAAGGGGAACCTGTAGACAAGGTGCCACATAAAAGGTTATTGCACAAAATCGGAACTCATGGTACCGGTGCTAACTCATGAACTTGGATAGAAGATTGCCTGACTGACGGAAAACGAAGAGAATGCATAAATGAGTCTTTTTTGATTAGCAGGACATGATAAGTGGAATCGTACATGTGTCTGTGCTAGTCTTCAGCTTTTGAGAATTTATATCAATGACGGGGTATGAAGGCCTGGCATCTTACTTTGCACATGACACGTAGATAATGCTACGAAGTTGGGTAGAGTAACTGTGAGGTGGAAGGCAGGAAGCTAAAATATGTGGTTCCTTTAAGAGATTTGTGCTTTGTCTGTACTTAGAAATTTTTTAAAATGTTCTATGTCCGTGAGCAATAGCTGAAGTTGCCAGCACAGATAGCATCAATAAGTGAAACAAATATATTAAAAAGAAAAAATACCTTACAGGTGGCAGGCAAAACATCAGTCTTGTTTGGAAGCTGTGGCAACGAGTTTGAATTCAGCCAATTTAAGCAAAGCACCTAGAAACAGCCACCTGAATTTAAATCTGATGGTGTTGACAACCAGAAACCAATCACACTATAAGAATTTGATTATGTCATTATGGGTATATAAGACAAGGGCATTTGAAGAATTGGAGAGAGCTACCTGTCATTGGTCAGAGTTAATACAATTCAGCTTGCAGAGAAAGTGCATCTAATTAAATCAAAGGTACCATAGTATTTTAGCTCAAAGTCCTTGCAGGAGATATTATTGCAGAATTAACAAAAGAAAGGTGTTTGTGAAGAGAATAGAGATGACAGAAAATTCCAGAAGACAGTCTCTGTGAACTTGGAGAGATTAAGTTACAATTTATTGCCTCTTATTAATTAGGTTTATATTAGTGAGTCTTGCCTTTATTTAAACAGCATTCCATATAATTTAGACCTGTTAAAGAGTAGTTAGTAGTATAAGGGGAAATTGTTTGCTTGTAATTTTGTTAACTTATTCATTGTTGGGTTAAATAAATAGCTTGTTTCTTACTTGTAAAAGGAAATTTAAGAATTTTTTTTTTTTTAAACCATCTTTCTAATGGACTGAGGGGGAAAATGATCTCTTCTGGGTGTTTTGGAGATAATTATGAGAAGGGGAACTTCTAATCCCATCATAGCAGATTGGGGCTTGTGTTTTAGTTTAATGATTAGATGGGTTTGACCATTCCCTGTTGTAACAGTAGAAAAATTCCTTTGCAGAGGACATGGGAAACTTGAAGACCAACAGATTGAATGGCAAACAGAATATAATGTGGCTACATATTAAGTTACTCACATAAGCAAGGTATTACTTGAGAACAACTGCAGAATTTTGAGGTGTAGCATGATAAATGTGTTCTAGTGCAGAAATCCCAAAAGGTTAGTATGAAGGTACAACATTCAATTAAGGTGAATGGAAAGCTGCCTTTTATCAGGGGGAACTTTGCCTTAAAACTTAAGTTGTTTTTGTCTCACTTATTTGAGCATTGAGACCACGTCTTGAATACTAAGTTTAGTTTTTGTTTCCTTTGTCTATGTAATGATGTAAATATGTTGGAAATGATTTGGAGGTTAATGAGGTTGAAACCTGGAATGAGCAGGTTGTCTTATGAAGAAAATTTGGGACCCATCTTGATTTTGCTGGAGCTTAGTGAAGAGGGATTTGATTCAAGTGTATAAGATCCTGAATAGTTTGTTTTTACAAAGTGGGCTTGAAAAGGGTCTTTGCCCTTATTGAAGTACAGAATTAGAGGTTGCACTTTTATTTTTTTATCCTCTTAGAGGATTGTGCAACTTCAGTATTCTCTGCCTCCAGATGGTTGATGCATTTAATATTTTGAAGGCAGATAGATAGAAAGGGAGTCAAAACGTTCTGGTCAGTGGAAACAGAACATTCAAAAAGCAGATTAACTCTAATGTTAGAGGACAGAACAAGCTCAAAGGGCTGAATATTGTGCTTATTCTCTTAATTTGTATGTGTTTGCAACTACTGGGACTCCCCTATCTACTCCACCCTTCCCACTGACCAAACACACTAATCCCATACCTGCATCCACCTATCTCCATCTGCCCACCCTCCCTCTATTTCCAGTCTCCCCTCCCCATCCCTGACAAAGGGTTTTGACCTGAAATGTTGACTTTCCGATCCTCTGATGCTGTCTGACCTACTGTGCTTTTTCCTGCTCCACATTCATTGACATGGGCCTCAAGAGACTGGGAAATTAGCATTCTAAAGCTTTTATCAAATTATGCAGCAACTAATATAACTGCACTATTTAGAAAGGATAAAGTGGCACACCTGGGAACCATTGGCCTGTATTTGTAACATTTGCCATTGGGATTGTTTTACTAAAGGTCTTTAAATTGAACAAACATTTGGTAAAGTGTGACATACTGAGAAATTTTCAGCACATTCTCAACAAAAGGAGGTCAAGTTTAATTAACCTACTTGGTTTTTTTTTGGAAAAGCTTTCTGATGTAACAAGGCAACACAGTTACTGTTACACAATTGGGTATTCTTAAAGTTTGTGAAACAATTTGCAATTAGAAGATAAAATATTGCACTAAGCCATCAAATTGCAAGTTGTTAACCAGATTTTTGTTTTTTACAAGGGTAGTTCATATGTGGTGTTAACTTCTGAGGAAGTGGTGAATGTGGGCACAGTTACAATTTTTAAAAGACACTTTGGTAAATATGTGAACGTGAGAGGTTTGGAGGGATATGGGCCAGGAGAATGTAGGGGGCCTAGTCTAGTTTGGGATTGTGTTTGGCATGGACTGGTTGGAGCAAAGTCTGCTTCTGTGCTGCTTGACACTAAGAGCTTCAAATCACCACACTGGAATTTACCCAGTTTCAAGTGAGCTTATTGCCATGCAATCTGCCTGATAGGCCATTCTCAGGGCAGGAGGTGGTGGGCATGGGTGGTCAGGGCCTGATCAAGGAACCAGACATACAGCAAGTGGCACACCTGGGGATTCTTCACACCTCTTCCTGTGAATGCCAGCACCAGAAACCCCACAACAATATCTGTAGCCAATAGTCTTCACCTGATAAGCTAACAGGCTAAATAATGGGATACAATGTAACCAAGTTGAGTTGATACTACACTCAATGAATCTGTATTGTGCCATTTTAAAAATGATAATTCTAAGAATTTTTGAAATCTCTCTCTCTCTCTCTCTCTCTCTCTCTCTCTCTCTCTCTCTCTCTAGCTATTTCTTCCTTTGAGTCCTGTGGAATTGGGTAATTTAACAATGTTATGCAACTGAGTCCATATGATAAAGCCAAGGTTCATATTAATTATACACATCTCCTTCCTGAATCAGCAGGAACAGAAAATAGCATACAGGTCATGGTGACAGCTCTCATACACTGCAGCTGTTACTTAAAGTTCATTCAAGCTTGGCAAAACTAGAAATAGTTGGCCATGGCCTGCACTTCTTGCACAAACAGCTCCAAAGAAGTGCAGCAAAGAAAAGGTGGCCTACTTGAGATTTCAGGCCATCATTAACCACAAACCGTCCATCCAATCTTCTTATATGATCAGAAGATCCAGACATGCAAGGGTTAATGCATGATCTGTTTAGCAAGCCAGTATGACATTTTGTCAAATGAATCAAGACAATTTTTTAAAAAAAAAAAAAAAAAGTTGATCAGAAACGAGATGAAGGGTCCACGTGGCAGTAAGAGCACAGGTGGAATGAGACTTTGATCCATCCCTCACTGAAGTGAAGGTCCAGCTGTCTGGTGTTGCCAGCTGACCTGAGTGGTTGGTGTCTCCGTAGTGGATAGTGCTAGGACTACAGACAGTACCATAGACAGCTAAGGATGATCCTTCAGTGAGTTTCATCTGGGATATTGGGTGGGAAGGAGTTGGCAATCTTACAAAGGATATGGGGTGCGGAAGAGGAGTTGGAATGTGTGTTTTGGAGAGCAGGTGATTAGGAAGGAAGTGAGCTACTATCTTCAGGGGTGGGAGGGATGTCCTGATGAGTAAAGGGCACTCAAACAGCATAAAAAGCTCTTCTCATGATTCAAAAACCTTTTATGAAAACAGGTTGCCCATGCTAGCCATAGTTGAGCATGTGCAGTGTATTATCAAAGACAGGTAAGCTTTTAACAAGCTTAATTCAGTGCAAACTCTGATTTCAAGGCCCATATCCCCTTTGCTTTATGGGGATGAGGTGTGGCAGCCCAGCATTATGCGGGCTGAAAGTGCCATGCAGATCAGGAGGGTGCCTTAAAGGGGAAAAGATTTTAGAAAACTAGGTTGCTGTGCATGAGTTGCAGAACCTTCGATGGTGATGTACAGAACCTGAAGTAAAGTTGGTGTAGGTGTGAAGATGGTGGGCTAGCCACTCTGCCTATTTTACATGTCCACCAACCAAAGCCATGCTTGGCAAAGGAAGGGAGACAATAACCTAGCAGTGTTAACACTGGACTGTTAATCCAGATCCCCAGATAACATTCTGGGGACCTGGGTTCGAATCCCGCCATGGCAGATGGTGGAATTTGAATTCAATAAGTATATCTGGAATTAAGAATCTAATGATGACTGTGAATCCATTGTCGATTGTTGGAAAAACCTATCTGGTTCTCTAATGTCCTTTAGGGAAGGAAACTGCCATCCTTATCTCAGCTGGCCTAAATGTGACAGCAATGTGGATGACTCTTAACTGCCTTCTGGGCAATTAAGGATGGGCAATAAATGCTGCTGTAGCCAGCGATGCCCTCACCTCATGAATGAATTTTTAAAAATTAGTAAAGCACAGAAGATGGCTAGTCAGCCTATGATACCCGTGTTGATTCCCAAAACAGCAATTCTGATTCTCTTGTCCTTTTCTCATTAGTCTTCCCTGAAAGAGAGATCAGGCGTCTCTTACCTTCTTTTCATCTAGCTGGGAAAATCCCTGGCTGAACAAGAAACATCTGTAGCCCATAGTTAGCAAACAATATGCTAACAGGAATGCTAAAATAATGGGGAACAATGCTCTTGTTTCTTTTAATTTTCTTTATGTATTTATTTATATCCTCCTTTTAAAAACTGCAATGCTTTCTGCTTCCAATACATTTCTATTCGGGCATCCCATGTCCACAGCATTAAAACCATGATATTTGTACCTCTTATGGTCTGTATTTACAGGAGGAAACCATCTGAGTATCATTGTTTCTTACTGTCATAACTGTATTAGTTTGAATTGTGAATACCACTGCACAGAAACAGCCTGTTTGATCCTCAAGTCTGTGTCACTGTTTTTCTCCATATGAGCCACTTAGTCTAATTACACATTTGCTTGCTTAAACATCTTTTAATATTTCCTTTTTTCAAGCAATTATCCAGTTCCACTTTTTAAAGAATTTGTATTCTACTTAACAATTGTCCAGAGTTCTACCATGGGATGGCCAAGTTGCTTGCCGATTTCCAGTGATATGTCCTATTTTCATGCAAATTGGGATCTTATGAAATAATGGAATATCACTTGCCAACGAGGAGAACTGTACAGCTTCTGACCAGGTTCATTGGTGGTAAAACTGAAAAGGTCCTGCAATGTCGTTTTAAAACACTTTTGAAGACTCATGCTCCCTCCCACAATTTCCTGTGCTGTTGGCTGCACTGGGATCTTCCACCAGTGACTCCCTCGCATGTTTTAACTTAAAGGGCTTAATTTACTGCAAGTCTGACTAATATTGCATCAGCCATAACCCGATGAGTTACATCAAGTTGCCTGTTGGGCTGTGACAACTCCCTGATGCATTCAGGGAACATCTGTGTCAAAATGGCTCTGTTTGCTTTATATTTTGAATCTTAAAATCAATCTACTTTCCTTCAGGTCCTGTACATCACTATTGAAGGGTCTGCAACTCATGCACAGCAACCTAGTTTTCTAAAATCCTTTTTCCTCTTTAAGACACCCTCCTGATCTGGATGGCACTTTCAGCCCTCATAATGCTGGGCTGCCACAAGTCAGTAGATATTTAGCATACGTGATGAATTAGATCGGATTCGAGAAAATAGGTGGACTTGAAGTGGAATATTTTTAAGCTAATAAAAAGGAGCTGCAAAACCAACACTGGATGTTAAGTTAAAAGTAACCAATGTACTGTGAGTCTGTCACAATGATTCCATTTATTTCAAAGGAACATACTCACCCCAAACACTCTGGTCAGTTCTTCAAATGCCCACTACCCTTTCAAAAAAAGCCTTTATATGCAAGCACAGAAGATATGAAACCTGTCCTTTTGCCTCCTCACGTTTCACCATCCGGGACACCAAACATATTTTGCAGGTGGAAGTGTGCATTCTTTGTACTTTCAATTTTACCTCCTGTGTTCATTACAGATTGAGTGATCATTTTGCCACGTACTTCTATGCAGTCTGTAAACATGACCTTGAGTATCTGTTTACTTGCCATTTTAGCTCTTTCTTCCACTCTAACAATTACTTCTCTGTCCTTGGTCTCGAACATTTCAATGAAGCTTGATGGAAGTATGAGAAACTGCATTTTACCTTTCAATTAGGAACTCTACAACCTTCTGTCTATGTTCTGGACTTAGGCCTTTATTGTCATTTAATCACTCTTACTTCCACCATATCACAAACCTTGCCTTTCATTATTGCTTACCATCTCCCTTTTCTTAGCTATTGTATTTCTAACTTATTCCAGTTCTGATGACAAGTTATTGACCTGAAAAAAAATGATGCAGCTTGACCGACTGAGTGTTTCCAGGGTTTTCTCTTTTCATATTTGTCCTAATGTTCACCAAAATTCAGAGTTTGATTTTATTTGTCTTTTGTACGTTTTGCTTCTGAATATATTGACTGTCAACAAAGACCCATAATTGGTGATCTGTGCTGCGATATTAGGCTGGAACATGACATTTCCTGCTCTCCCCTGAATTTTGCAGTTCCTTAAAGGTTTTTTCATCTTTAGCACAAGATGTTTTCTCAAACTGGCAAGATTAAGGATGTAGCAGCCTTTGAGGAATAACTTCATCTGGAAAGTATGAATATTTCATATCACATGTCTAGAATCAGACTACCTACTGTTTTTCATGATTCTAATTTCTCAATTTAAGCGAAGATCCTATTTCTGTTGGTTATGACTTTGGGAGGTTGAATCCCATGCACACAGTTATTAGGTCACCTTTATCATCTTATCTGTCAGTTACAACTCCTAAGGATTACCTTCATAGAACCATGCATCTTTTTTATATTATGCTTTCAAAACACCTTCTGCAGCTGTGTAATTTTAGTTGGATTCAGAAAGCACTGTCCCACTTTTTTGTGCCAATAGTTTCAAGTTGACTAGCTTGATCTGAATTTTAATTCTTTACTGTGTTCACATTTTTTAGAATACAATTAGTTTCACAGAAGTCTTGTAACTATGGTTTCCTGGCTGTTGCTGTTTGTGTAAATATCAACTGTCTAGACTTTTCCCTATTAATCTGGCTTCAACCAGATGGGTTTTTTTTTGTATGCCTTCTCTTCTATGTTCAATGAAACTGTATATAAGAGATTTGTATCTGAGACAACTTGTTTTCAAAATCCATTACAAATAAATCAATATTTTCTCCTTCAGCTTAATATTTCTGTCATATTAAACAGGAGTCTTTCATAACATTCTTCTGAGATGAAAAATATTCTTCAACATAGTCCATTAGTATTTTTATTTTCCATCTATTCTCCATCACTGTATGCACATATTGGACTAAATATTTGTTCATGTGGCACAGATTCAAAGTAATGTTACATAGATTATGTCAAATCCCCCTGGCAGAAGCGCCACCAGCTGATGGCTGAGAAGCATTTGTTGGTTTCATTGTCATTATTAATGGAAAAGTCCTCTTAGGTTGCATAGGTGTAAGCCAATGGTATTGCCTGCTTTGGGGGAATTGACATAGTTGATATAGCATTGCATAAATATTTAGCGCATTGTCACCTCTACTAGTTCCTTGCATACTGCTTTGTATTTTGGACTAGTGTTCTCTGCATCAAAGCAAGATCCAAGTTGTAACTAGGTTTAAACAATTTACAAGTAGAGAAGAGAAAATGTTGGAAGCCTCAGCAGGTCTGGTAGCATCTGTGGAGAGGTAAACACTTAATATTTTAAGTCCGATGTGACCCTTCTTCAGAATACTGCTACCCCATAGTATTTTGACTTTATCTTTCAAACCTCCCTGGCAACCACCTAACACATGCTTGAGTCCCTGACATATGTAAATAAGAGATCTATTCTGTGTTCAGGCCCCCTCATCAAATTTGATCTGGTCAGCCTCATTCGGAATCCTTCAACATTCACTGTGCCCTTAGCATATCTTTTTAAGTAACTGAAAAGTAATTATGAACCATGAGCACAGTGTGAAGCCTGCATATATCATGTTCAATACAAGATTGACCTCAATATCCGGAACAAAAGGAATATTTACCCAATGGCAACCATAAACAGAAATGCGTTTTTCTGGAACAGCTCACTACATGCCTTAGATGTTAAGCCAAGCACTACACTCTCAAGAGATAGTAGGAACTGCAGATGCTGGAGAATCTGAGATAACAAGGTGTAGAGCTGGATGAACACAGCAGGCCAAGCAGCATCAGAGGAGCAGGAAGGCTGACGCCTCTCAAATTCCCTTTGGACTGTATGTGAAATTCACTGTTTTCACTAAGTAGATGGTATTCAATAGATATACTGCAATTAGTGTGTTCTGTTTACTGACCTCCTTGAGGGTTGTTTTATATGTACAGCACATTGTTGACTTGTTAAAGTTGATTGAAGTTGTGTCTGAAGGGAATGTGGTGGTTAGAACGAAACATGTCGTATGTTTGGCACAATTCCTAAATAATCACACAAGGGTTTGCTTTTAATCAAAGTGTGTAATTTTGTTTAAGATGATGGCAAGTATGATCCAACAAGAAAGCAGACAAAGTTTGATTAGGTTAAAAAGAATGGGCTAATCTCTGTTTATAACTTGCACTGATTTTATGTTAAGCGTTCATATATTTACCAGATCCTTAAATGTTGATTCATAGTTCAATTTTGTTATTTTCTACATAGACGAATTGTTCCACTTAGTAAATGACTGCCTATGGAATCCTTGCCATCATCCTGAAATCCCATTGAGTTATCCTGATCTACCTTCATAACTTCACAACTTTTGGAACTCACATGTACCAATTCCATAAGAGGTTACCAAACTGAAGAGCTTGTGGGTAGTGGACATATCTGGAAGAGGAAAGATGAGTTGAAAAGCTTGCTGAAAGGCGAAATCTTGGTCGTCTTGGGATGGCCTGCAATTCTCAGTGAGCCATTATTCACAGCCTCCTGAGAAAGGGCAACTATGAATGTATGGGCACTGGCGTGCCAGTCTGTCTGGCTCAGGTATCTAATGATTTGAAATCCTCAAATTTGCCAGCAATGTGAGTCAGGACAACAAGACAACCTGCATCATCCCCAGACATCCACAGCTAGCCGTGTGCAACTATGAGGAGCTCAACAAGCTGCAGGGAGAAGCGCCCACCGCTCTGAAGTGGTGCTCAATAAAACCACCATGGGTTGCATGACTAAAGTGAACAAGAATCAGTAACACAGAATTAACTGCATTGCCAAGACACTTTCACTTTTCTGTATTCCTGAACCATGATTGTGCTATTTCTGAACTCTACATGTGGCAAAAATCAGTTGACCATTTCTGTCACAGAATCTAGAAATACTACAAAAACATAGTCTTGATCTACCACAACATATTGCATAAATGCACATAAGTATTTTGTGCTGTACTCAAACAGCTGTACTTTTTAATACTTCCAGATAGCATTGAAACCAGCTCAAAATGTCCTGATTTAGTCGCAATTTGTGAAGCTTGAATTGTGGAAACCAAGGATGAGCTAACAACACCACTAGGGGAAGTATTTAGGGATTTAGTAGAAAAGAAAGAGCTTGAGAATGAAAAATGTACTTCCTTTATTTAAAAAAAGGAAGCAGGGAGATCCAGATAACTATAGACCAATTAGTCTGACAGCAGTACAAAATAAAACTCTGTAATTAATGATTAAGAAATGGAGGAGCATTAAGAGAGATATAATCCAATTGGCAAGTGTCACAATGGTTTATAAAAGGCAATTATTATCAGAATAGCTCAACAGAAATATAAACAAAGTACATAAAAATGAAATGAGTGCACCTACATCTTTTTCAATGTAAGACAACAAGGTGCAGGGCTGGATGAACACAGCAGGCCAAGCAGCATCATAGGAGCAG